ATCTTGCCCTGAATTTCGTAAACTAAACATCCCTGAGCGAACCAAGTTCGTCAAACCAAACGGCTATTGTTCTAATTGCTTAGCTTACAATCACATTCTGAGCAGTTGTTCAAGTGTCTTCCGATGTTATCATTGCAAAAAAAATCATCATACAATGTTACATCCCCCCTCCACCACCAAACCGATTCCCGAAGCACCAGTACGGAATCAGAAATCTAAATCAAATCCAAATGCAACAACCTTGTTGCATACCCAATCAACTGCACCTACCTCCAGTCAAACCCGACATCCAATTTTCGACATCACTGAAGGAAAGGTTTCCTGCGAGGAGGCATCTATTTCTTCGACCGACAGTGATTCTCATATCCAAGCCAACTTTTCAACCAACAACGAAAAGACATTGCTTCCCACAGCCCAAGTACACATCGAGCATTTGGGCCAACTTTTCCCGTTAAGAGCTTTAATAGATCAAGGCTCTCAAAAAACCTTCATCGCGGAAATGGTTCAAAATCATCTAAGACTCCCAACTAATCGAGAAAATTTTTCAGTTACCGGCATGGGTGGAAAGATTGTGGAAAACGCAACACGGGTTTGCAACATTCGTCTCGTAGCCAAACGTCATGACATTCGCATCGATACCAAGGCTATTGTTCTCCACAAATTGACTAGCTTCTTACCCACTTCCCAATTCAAAAAACCCCCACTTTCAGATATAAAAGGTCTGGACCTCGCCGACCCACACTTCTATACTCCCGCTCAGATCGACTTGGTAATAGGTAGCGACCTAATACCTGAAATTCTTCTCGAAGAAGTCCAACACAAAGTTCTTGGCAGCCTTCTCGCGCAAAATACAATTTTTGGATGGTACTTGAGCGGACCATTACAAGCAACAAACTGCTCAACTTTTCACACTTATGTTGCAGAGGATTTGAGCGAAAGTCTTGATTCTCAACTTAAGCGGTTCTGGGAAGTAGAGGAGATCGCTGAATCACATCCTGCTTCAGCAGCAGATGCGTATTGCGAAAAGCTGTTTCACGACACCACCTATCGGCAAACTGATGGACGATATGTGGTCCGATTGCCATTCAAATCGGAATTCTCCTCTAAGCTGTCTCTAGGTCCATCTCGTGCCCACGCAATGAAGCAAGCGATCCGAATGGAGCACATGCTCAATAAGAAACCCGAGCTTAAGAAGGAGTATATTCGGGTCTTAGACGAATATCTGACCTTAGACCACATGAAACCTATCACTTCGGATGAAATTCACCAAAATGATAATTACCACTCCTACTATCTACCCCATCACTCCGTCATTAAACCCGACAGCAAATCCACCAAAGTTCGCGTGGTATTTAATGCTTCCAAACCATCAGCGTCCGGAGTGTCTCTAAATGACATTTTGCATATCGGTCCCACTTTACAAACAGACCTCATGATTGTAATCTTAAATTGGCGTTTGTACAGATACGTCTTTAACGGCGACATCCAAAAAATGTACCGCCAAATTCTGTTGCATGAAGACGATCAACAGTTTCAACGAATTCTCTTCCGTAGAGAAAACGAGACCCAACTTAGAGATTTCGCGCTTAAAACCGTAACATTTGGGGTAAATTGCGCACCATATCTCGCCATCCGTACCTTGCACCAAGAAGCCAAGAGAATTCTAACCGAAGAAACTTATGTCGATGACATACTGACTGACGGGCACGATATTCCTACTTGTCTCACCACACAATCCCAAATTATCCAATGTTTGCTCTCAGCCGGTCTGCCTTTGAAAAAAATAACAGCTAATCACCCCGAACTGCTTAAACACATCCCGACCGAAGATTTGCTCGATTCCAATTTTCTCAAACTTGATTCCTCTAGCTCTACCAAAACTCTTGGCATTCGTTGGAATGCCTTAAACGATGCATTCTCTTATTCAACCGAGCCCATCCAACCAACTACAAGTGCTACTAAGCGGCAAATTTTATCCTCGGTTTCGAAACTTTTTGACCCCGCAGGGTGGCTAGCGCCTATTATTATTCAGGCAAAAATACTCTTGCAGCAGATATGGTTGGATGGCACTGCATGGGACGAATGCGTTAAACCACTCTCACTTCAAAAGTGAAACCAATTCATCTCTGACCTTCCTAGTATCGAGCAAATCCAAATACCAAGATGGACGGAATTTTCACCAAATCAAATAGTCCAAATCCATGGCTTCTGTGATGCGTCGGAGAAGGCATTCTGCGCATCCATCTACATAAGAACTCAGACCGACAACACTATTGCATCTCACCTACTTTTTTCTAAGACTAAATCGCACCATTACAAACAGCAAGCCTTCCACGTCTGGAACTTTGCGGTGCAGTGCTGCTTTCCAAATGTATCAAAAACGTTACCAATCAACTTCCTCTAGGGGAAACAGAAATATTCTTATGGTCAGATTCGTCTATAGTTCTCTCGTGGCTGGAAAAACCTCCATGCGCATGGAAGGTATACGTAGCTAACCGCACCTCTCAGATCATCAACAACGTTGGAAACATCAAATGGAGACACGTATCAACCCACCACAATCCTGCTGACCTAGGAACGCGGGTCTGCAGACCACAGGACTTAATACAAAACTCCCTTTGGTGGCACGGACCAGGCTGGCTCCAGAAACCTCCAGATCAATGGCCAACATCATTTCGTCAAAACGTTGCTCCACTTGAAGAACGAAAAGTTGAAGCTCTTCACACGCTCGAAGAAGAACCTGATCTCTAAAACCGTTTCTCATCCTGGTCAAACACCTTGAGAGTAATATGCTACATCTTTCGTTTCTTTCATCGAACCACTCGAATTCGCATACAGTCCACTTCGATTATCAATCCTGAAACTACGGTAATTACTCAAAGGGAAATTCATTGGGTTAAATCACGCCTCATAAGACTCGTTCAAGAAAGGCATTACCCCAATGAATACGCGAAACTCTCTAACAAACAGCCCATTTCTAAAAGGAGTTCACTATTGACTTTAAACCCCTTTATCGATAAAAATGGACTTGTCAGAGTAAATGGTCGTCTTGCAAATTCGTCACTCTCTTACAATGAAAGACATCCGATCATCATCCCACCATCCTCCAGATTCTGCCACCTATTTCTTCTATTTCTACACAACTTGCTGATGCACGCGGAACACCAACTAATGATCCGAACAGCAAGACAAGAGTATTTCATTCCCAGATTAAAATCACAGGTCAAGAAGTGCATACGAACTTGCAAAACCTGTACTATCTTCAAACAGAGTACGCGTTCACAAATAATGGCAGCATTACCGCCAGAGCGTTCAAGCTTCTCCTTGCCATTCACTCACACCGGAATTGACTTCGCGGGTCCCTTTGATGTTAAGTCATCCACCCTGCGAAAATCCCCACTGCTGAAAGGTTATGTTTGCGTTTTCATCTGCTTCTCAACCAAGGCAATCCACTTAGAGGCGTGCTCAGATCTCTCCACCAAAGCATTCCAGGCAGCATTTGCTCGTTTCGTCGGACGACGGGGTCTACCACAACGCGTATTTTCCGATAATGGAAAAAACTTTGTAGGTGCCAATCGAGCCTTTCAAACTGATTTCAAGAGATTTCTTAAGGAAACATCCGACGATATACGCTCAAAATACAATCACACGGCTTTGAATGGCATTTCTTACCACCAAACGCTCCCCACATGGGCGGCCTTTGGGAGGCGGCCGTCAAAAGTTTCAAATTTCATTTTAAGCGAATTGCTGGGAGTTTCCATTTCACTTTCGAAGAGCTCGCAACTTTACTGGCCCGTATTGAAGCAGTGTTGAGCTCGCGACCTCTCCCACCCATCTCCGACAATCCCCAAGAGCTGTTAGCTCTAACACCTGGCCACTTCTTGCGGGGTGCCCCACTCCTTGCTTCTCAAGAACCCCAGGTCGACAACCTTTCACTACAAAATCGCTGGGAAAAACTCAAATTATTGCATCAGCAGTTCAGTCAAAGATGGAAAGACGAGTATCTGAAAGAGTTGCATCAACGGTACAAGTGGAAACTCCCGCAAAAGAACTTGGCCATAGGCGATTTCGTTGTAATGAAGCACGAGTTGGTACCCCCAAACGAATGGCGTCTAGGCAGGATCGAAAGGGTCTACCACGGGGTCGACAATAACATACGAGTCGCAGATGTGAAAACCCAGTATGGTAACTTTACCCGACCAATCGTAAAATTGTGTCCACTCCCAACACAAGCAACTCTCCCTGATCCCAATGCTACACACCACACTTAGAAACACTTCGCTTGCATTCTAGTCATCCGTCTATAAATCATTCATACTAAAGTCCCATTTATTTACAGGCGAACTCCATCTTCACCGTCTCCAATCCGCAAGCTACCTAATCCACTGGTGCATCAGTGCCAGATCTGCTCCCGGTATCATCCATTGCGCCATTGCCTGACCTTTCTGGCGATGCCTGTTGAGGCTCGCATCCGGTGTGTGGAGCGACACCGCTACTGTCCAAATTGCCTGGCACGGACGCACAGCAGTGTCCGACGATGCCCGTCGCAATGGTCGTGCAGGGTGTGCCGACAGTACCATCACACCCTCCTACATCGCCCCGTGCCAAGCAATAGATCAGCCACAAAGAGTGCAACGCCACCACCGAAGGGGCCGTCTCGGGCCGAGGCGCGCCAACAGCTCGACGACGCCATCAAGGCGTTAACGGAACTGCGTGACAGTCTTGCACCGGTGCAAGGGGCCCGGCATGTTTAAGGGACTTGCGCTCCCTTAACATAACCATCCCGTATGTCATCGTCCCAACCCGTAAATCCCTAATTACATCCCTGCGGCCTCCACTACAATCATCCCTGCGGTAGTTGGAAGTCCGAACATTGCTTCCCATAGGCGCTCTGGAATCCCCTTCCAGTGTTGTCTATAAAAGGAAATTGCAACCGTTTTCTTTTTCTTCTTTTTACCACGAGATCTGACCAGATGACATCACGGAGCCGTTCGTTAACTCAACCAACATTTGGAAATTTATATATTTATCTACGCGGGAGTGCATACCTCATCGTGGGATTCCACCAGCAAGCGTAACACCTTAAATCTATTCGTATCCTTATTATATTTTCATACCACCATTGCAATTTTGAATTTTTACTTGCGATATACGTTTTCATTAAAATTACAATAATTGCTCTTAAGCTATCGTTTACTATTTCATCTATGTACATTCTTCACATTTGCGCTACATAAGAAAATAATTCGTCATCATCATCATTGTTAATTAGTTCATAAGCCAATGAGAAGTTGAATTAATATATTACATTGAAAAACTACATCGCAATCTCGTAATTTCTCAACACAACTAAAAAAAAAATTTAAAACTACAATCAACTACAAACGATTCTGGACCTGAATTCATTAAAACTGAAGCTGTAGTTGTAAAAAGCTTCATATGAATTTTTTAAAAAACGATTTACGCACTTATTTTTCAACTAAAAAAAAAATTTAAAACTACAATCAACTACAAACGATTCTGGACCTGAATTCATTAAAACTGAAGCTGTAGTTGTAAAAAGCTTCATATGAATTTAAAAAAAAACGCATTACGCACTTATTTTTCAACTAAAAAAAAAATTTAAAACTACAATCAACTACAAACGATTCTGGCCCTGAATTCATTAAAATTGAAGCTGTAGTTGTAAGAAGCTTCATATGAATTTTTTAAATAACGCATTACGCACTTATTTTTCAACTAAAAAAAAAAATTTAAAACTACAATCAACTACAAACGATTCTGGACCTGAATTCATTAAAACTGAAGCTGTAGTTGTATAAAGCTTCATATGAATTTTTTAAAAAACGCATTACGCACTTATTTTTCAACTAAAAAAATTTTTTAAAACTACAATCAACTACAAAAGATTCTGGACCAGAATTCATTAAAATTTAGGCGGTAGCTGTAAAAATCTTCATATGAATTTTTTAAAAAACACATTAAGCACTTATTTTTCAACTAAAAAAAAATTTAAAACTACAATCAACTACAAACGATTCTGGACCTGAATTCATTAAAACTGAAGCTGTAGCTGTAAAAAGCTGCATATGAATTAAAATAAAAAACACATTACGCACTCATTTTTCAACTAAAAAAAAAAATTTAAAACTACAATCCACTACAAACGATTCTGGTCCCGAATTCATTAAAATTTAAGCGGTAGCTGTAAAAAGCTTCATATAAATTAAAAAAAAAAA